CCGCCCCCACTGAACTCCTTTCAAAAAAAGAGCCCAGCAATTTTTCCAAAAAATGCATGTCTCCCCCACGGCGCCTAATGAAACAAAGAACGTTTGCCTGGAGGCTGATTCACATGAAGCAGCATCATGAAGACATATGCTTGTGATTTTCAGTTTATGAAAAGGGGTTGCTATGTTCCCCTGAATCATTAGACAAACATTTCATTCTGTGGTTTTATACGTTAGGGAATAAACAAAAGCCCTGCTTTCAAGGCAGAATGTGAGACACAAACACTACTCAATCCTCCTGTCGTGTTCGAGTCAAATCTGGCAGATTTACTACTTTCATCAATCATAAATATATAGTTTTACATTTGGCTGCCTCAAGGCCTTATGATATCCTCCACAGTAAGCATTTGAACATTGCTGTGAAATGCAATTAGTTGATGATTAATGGTTTTTATAATAATGTAATTGTAGTTCAAACAGACCTGTCAAATTTGACCGGTAACACCAAAGTAAGGAAGGAGGAACGAACCCGACAGGAGGGTTACACATCTCCACATCAGAGCAAACACTACTCTCTGCCCCCCCCCAGTGTGACATCACAGCCACATCATGTGCGCGGGTGTCTCCTCTGAAAAAGGAAACACCTAAATGACAGCCTGGCTGCCAAACCCAGGCCACACTGAGACCTGTGAAAAGAGAGCTGTCAGCGGAGGTTGGAGGAAAGATAAACTCACAGACAGAGTTCAAATTAAAGCTGTCATCTAACGATGGATTTACGAGCTGAGGAGGGATGTTACCTGAAAGCCAGAAAATAAAAAACAACAACTAAAGAAACAACGGAAAGCTAGAGTTAGTCGGCTGCCTTAAAGTATCCCTAATTTCTTCCATGATTAAGACCTATGCATAGTTTATTTGGCACTAGATTGAATACGTATTTGACTAGTGAGGTTAGATAAAAGGGTTTTTGGGAAAACATACTCATGACTTTCTGTGGTCAAAACCAAGAGTATTTCATTATGAATGAGTGAGATGAAAAACAGACATGAAAACAAACATGACTATAAGATTTCGTTCATTAAAAACAATCACCAGCAGAACGCAAATCAGGTCAAGTCTGCTTTCTTTAGCACAGTTCATTCCTCCTGGGGCCAAACAGGTTTCAGATGCTTATCACGTAGATGTGAATCTGGCCGTGACCTTTGCTCCCTGACCAGCTATTTCATTAAAGGCCTGTATATGTATTTTTAGGAGCCTATATTAAAACATTTAGATGGGTATACTGTACCTATTGTAGATGTCTGATGTTATTAAAACTTTTCTATGTAACCCCAAATCATGATGATATCGCAAGGATATTTTAAGTTATTTTCAATTTGTTGGTTTTCTATTGATTTCACTTTCCTTTCTCGTGGTCACTTGTTCTTAAACTTTTGAAATGCCTCGATCACCTTCTTGTTTATGCAAAATGTGCCAAATTGTCCAACTGGAAGTGTTTCTTAATGTCTTGCAAAAAGCAAGTTACAACTCCATGTAATTTAAAATCTGCTCTGAATGGTTGCTTGGCAACGCTGATATGGTGGCGTGTTTTCACATCAATCTGTAAAAATATATGATGCTCACCAATGAAAACATCTTACAAAATGACTGATAGCAACAATCAAGTCATTTCTGTGCTGCCTATTAAAGTCTTACGGCATTTACTGCAAAAAATCTCTATTTTCAACAATCCCAAACACGGTCAATCCAACAAATAAGTTCCTCTAATCTCCAAGGCCTTAGAGCCAGGTATTGCTGGTTCTGTACCTCTATCTGCTGCACGGTGAGGTCCAGGAAGGTGTTCTCGTTGCGGACGCTGATCAGGCTCTTGGGGCCCTTGCAGCCCATGCTGGTCCCCAGGCCTCCGTTCAGCTTCACCACCACCAGCTTGTTCAGGCAGTCGGCCACGCTGTTCGGCAGGCCGCGGCCCAAGATCCTCTCGTAGGGCTGGATCTGAGGAGAGGAAGAGAGAGAGAGGGTCAGGGAACCAGCAGGAGAGGAAGAGAGAGAGAGGGTCAGGGAACCAGCAGGAGAGGGAGAGAGAGAGAGGGTCAGGGAACCAGCAGGAGAGGAAGAGAGAGAGAGGGTCAGGGAACCAGCAGGAGAGGAAGAGAGAGGGTCAGGGAACCAGCAGGAGAGGGAGAGAGAGAGAGGGTCAGGGAACCAGCAGGAGAGGAAGAGAGAGAGGGGTCAGGGAACCAGCAGGAGAGGAAGACAGAGAGAGAGGGTCAGGGAACCAGCAGGAGAGGGAGAGAGAGAGGGTCAGGGATCCAGCAGGAGAGGAAGAGAGAGGGTT